TACCAGTCGTTTTTGTAGGCATTAAACTGCCAGAATTTTAAAAGACGATATCTCCATTTGCATTGAACTTTCAGCTTCATACCTTTGCAGATATTGTTTATGCTCAAACAGCAACATTACACACTAACTAACATTAAAAAAGTGAAATCGCAATCAACCACCCCTTTAATAATATTTTTCATTTAACTTTAACACATTAGAACACAACAACAATCAAACATTTCAGCTAGTTGACAAGGCAACATTTCTCATTTTAATTTAAATTGATGTGATGCACTAAAATAAACAAACTGAAAATAAAATGTAATAAAAAAAACTATAGATTGTGTATATATATTTATATAAACACACACACACTTTAAATATTTTTAATAGTTTAGTTTTAGTTAACGATGATGATTTTCTGTTCATAACGGCACGGCCTTCACAGATCCAGGCATGATCATTAGCTCCATACAACCAATCATCTCTGCAACCTGCCATTTCTGCTGATTGGGCGCCAGGTTTAGCCTCACAGACCCAATGAACCCGTGGAAAGCATGCGGTTTTGTATTTTCCACAGCAATCGATCCTCAGAACTGAGGCTGACATCATTACAGTGGCGTTATTCATGAGCAGCGGACATTCCCATTATTTCCCTTCACCTGAAGGATCAAACTGACAGCAGGGAACATCTCTCTTTGTCTCTGGCTCTGAGATTGATTCAGAAGTCGTGAGCCGCTCTGAATGCTTAATCGTGCCCTTCAGCGTCTGTCACGGAGGTGATCTCGGTCCTGCGAGTGGAGGGGAAGGTCTCACGGCTTTCCAGTGTCTGTTTAAAGTGATTAAAGACGACTACAGGTAAAGACGCTGTCAGTAGCACTTACACGGACCGAGTCTGATCATTACACACACGGAGCACTTGAACCACACTAAAGGCCTTGGTGTGCACTACCTACATAGAGAGCATCATAACTGACATTTACCCTAGTGTGAGTGATCTGGAACACACTACATAGGCAGCAACTCCGTGTGTCGCACAAAGAGGGCAAGATTTGATTCATAATCGATTCTAATAGGGTTCTTGCTCAGTATTTTTTACCTTATTTTCCAGTACAAACATCTAAACATTCATAAATCAAGATACATTGAGATGCAACATTACATTGGATATACACTTGTTTTCTGGAGGAAAAAAAAATATAAAGTAAATTTATGATTAAAGCAAGAAAAATATCTGCCAATGGCATAACATTGTTTTTCATTTGAATTAAGTTTCTGAACCAACTGGAAGATATTTCTTCTTGTTTTAAGTACGAACTCTTCGTAAGTTTTTCTACGTATTTGTGTCATTCTTCAGTAAAATATTGAAATATTCTTCAATCAAAATATATTTTTGAGAAGCAAAATTACTGTCTTTTTTAAAGAAAAAATATCAAAATTAAGTCAGCTTATAGTTAAAATAAGAACAAATATCTGCAATGATATCTGCAAATGGGGTCAGAAAAATAATCTGGTTTTCCCTTTGAATTAAGTTTATTTTTTGACCGCATTGGAAAATATTTTTTCTTGTTTCAAGTAAAAACTCACTTAATTTTTCTCAGACTTTTTGTCTTGTATTTCAGTAAAACACCGAAACATTCTTAAATCAAGAAAATAATAGATATAAAATCCTGTTCTCTAAAAAAATGCATCAAAATTAAGTCAGCTTATGCTTAAAACAAGAACATATCTGCAAATAATTATTACATGCAGACATTCGTTCATGTTTTAAGCAAAAACTCACTTCATTTTGATGCATTTTTCAGAAAGGAAGACTCTATATCTTGCGTCTCCAGGAAATGCATCTAGATTTAAGAATGGTTAGGTATTTTTACAGGAAAACAACAGAAATAATGAGGAAGAAATCATTTTTGTAGTGTTATCCATAAGAATATTGAGATGATAACAAAATACTTTAATAAGCATAAAAAGATACACAAGTAATCAACCTTTAGTATTGAAACAAGTATATTTACCATTAATATTTAACTAATCCATCATCCAGCTCATTGCAATTCATCCTGGGACTGTCCTCTTTGTACATACTTTTTGTTTTTCTGCCCTGTGAAAGTTACAGTACGTTTCATAACACAGCGAACCGGATGAGATCAAGCACATTTTGATTCCGTAATCATTCACGACCCATAATCTTCACATCTGCGCTTTTCACTCCGTCAGAAATGAAGTAGTTTGCGTTTCTGTTATATGCTTCAGTCATTTCAGGAAAGATTCAGTTTGTTCAGTTATCAGCGAATCATCAAGAAAACGCTCTCAAAGTGAATTATTTATTCGCAAAGCTTTCTGAAAGTTGCATCACGTCTTGGCCAGACAGAAAAATATCATTTGGAGTCAGTAAAAAAATAGTTTTGCTAAATGAAAATATCCAAGTCATACACACACACTCACAAACACACACTCACTCACACACTCTCTCTCTCTCTCTCTCTCTCTCTCTCTCTCTCTCTCTCTCTCTCTCTCTCTCTCTCTCTCTCTCTCTCTCTCTCTCTCTCTCTCTCTCTCTCTCTCTCTCTCTCTCTCTCTCTCTCTCTCTCTCTCTCTCTCTCTCTCTCTCTCTCTCTCTCTCTCTCTCTCTCTCTCTCTCTCTCTCTCTCTCTCTCTCTCTCTCTCTCTCTCTCTCTCTCTCTCTCTCTCTCTCTCTCTCTCTCTCTCTCTCTCTCTCTCTCTCTCTCTCTCTCTCTCTCTCTCTCTCTCTCTCTCTCTCTCTCTCTCTCTCTCTCTCTCTCTCTCTCTCTCTCTCTCTCTCTCTCTCTCTCTCTCTCTCTCTCTCTCTCTCTCTCTCTCTCTCTCTCTCTCTCTCTCTCTCTCTCTCTCTCTCTCTCTCTCTCTCTCTCTCTCTCTCTCTCTCTCTCTCTCTCTCTCTCTCTCTCTCTCTCTCTCTCTCTCTCTCTCTCTCTCTCTCTCTCTCTCTCTCTCTCTCTCTCTCTCTCTCTCTCTCTCTCTCTCTCTCTCTCTCTCTCTCTCTCTCTCTCTCTCTCTCTCTCTCTCTCTCTCTCTCTCTCTCTCTCTCTCTCTCTCTCTCTCTCTCTCTCTCTCTCTCTCTCTCTCTCTCTCTCTCTCTCTCTCTCTCTCTCTCTCTCTCTCTCTCTCTCTCTCTCTCTCTCTCTCTCTCTCTCTCTCTCTCTCTCTCTCTCTCTCTCTCTCTCTCTCTCTCTCTCTCTCTCTCTCTCTCTCTCTCTCTCTCTCTCTCTCTCTCTCTCTCTCTCTCTCTCTCTCTCTCTCTCTCTCTCTCTCTCTCTCTCTCTCTCTCTCTCTCTCTCTCTCTCTCTCTCTCTCTCTCTCTCTCTCTCTCTCTCTCTCTCTCTCTCTCTCTCTCTCTCTCTCTCTCTCTCTCTCTCTCTCTCTCTCTCTCTCTCTCTCTCTCTCTCTCTCTCTCTCTCTCTCTCTCTCTCTCTCTCTCTCTCTCTCTCTCTCTCTCTCTCTCTCTCTCTCTCTCACACACACACACTATCTCTCACACACACTCTCTCTCACACTCACTCACTCACTCACTCACTCACACACTGAGAGTTTTGTGTGTTTGTTTAGCAGCTGATTAATTTTTAAGCCGCTCACGTTAAGTAACAGCAGCCTCGAGAACAAGTCGCCGTAATTATTCCTTTAGCAGCTTCCTCTAATTTTCAATGAATGTTCCCATAGTAATTCCTGGATGAGACAGCCTTGGCATTTACATTAGCATGCACACGTTCAATGCATAACGTGTTTTTGTCTTGTTTTCCAGTACAAATATCTAAACATTCTTAAAACAACATACATTTACTAAAGAAGCAAAATTACTTAAGATTTAAAAACCCTGCACTACACTGCAAAAAAACAAAAAAAACAACAACTGTCAGTCGGGATCGTAAAACGAATAATAAAAACTGCAAAAATCATATTCGTAATGAGTATTACTGTGTTGTTTTCTGGTTAAAATATCAAAAAAAATTTAAACAAGCAACACTGCATAAGATCCCAACTAGATTTTATTATAAACATTTAAAAATATGTGAAAAATCATTACCAGTGCATTAAGACAAAATACACTCATTTTAATATCGTATTGCGGCTTCTCATGTAAATTTATCTAGTTTTAAGATTTTTTTAAATATTTTTACTGGAAAACAAATAGAATCAGAATCAGAAAGAGCTTTATTGCCAAGTATGTTTGCACATACAAGGAATTTGTTCTGGTGACACAAGCTTACAGTACACAGAGACAACAACAACACACAGATAATAAAAAAATAAAGATGTGTGAATTAAATACACATAAATAAACAGAAATAGACAAAATTTGTACAGTTGTGGTATATAGATGGAATAGAATAGAATTTACAAGGAATGGAATAAGATGTAGGATAGTATTAAGTAAATAAAAGTGGTATTGCATATCTTTTTATTGAACAGTAGGGGAGAACATTTAACTGTTCATGAGGTAGATTGCCTGGGGAAAGAAAAAGAAGAAGAAGAAACAAATGAAAAACTCATTAAGAAGCCACTTGCACTTGCAGTGAAA